AGCTCTTTTTTCCAAGTTACATAATTTCTAAGGTACTATTACACAAAAATTCCAGGCCTCGTGTTGTCTTATAATTGAACCACCTTAGTACCTTATTGTGAAGTTTTTCATCAAGGATGTTTGTTGCCAATCATGGATTCACCTGCTGTTCATGATTACGCTACCTTACTGATGAGATACTCCCAAAGGATTCTAGTTAACGGCCGTTGACTTACACTGTCCATAATAATCGCACCACATTACTTGTAAAAACTCCCACCAAGGGTCAAGATCATTGAAAAAATTCCCAGAAAAAAATTAAACTATATAAGCCTAACATGTAAATATGGAACAGAAAGTTGATCTAGGCTCAAAAAACCTTTTACCACTACCAGAAGGCTAGAAAAATGCGTAAAAAAATATTTGCATTGAGAAGTATCACGTGCAACTCTATCGGATATGACTTTGGCCACCTTGTATATATGTGAAATAATAAAATTTGTTCTTTGCATGATCAAAGGAATCTCCATCATCTTGAAATAAAACTTCAACGGGAAGGTGCCTTACTTGGTTAATATGTCTGGTCACCTCATTATCCATTTGAACTAGCACATTAGACTAATTCAGTATCACACATTTGTGCAACCCATAGAAAACCCCATATAACTCCGCCATCAAGCTATCACCGCGCCCCAAATAGCCACATTCTCCATAAAAAAAAACTTCGCCTGCTCCTCAAATTACAAAGCTAAAGTCAGCTTCATCATGTACTAAGGAACCGTCGTTATTTAGAATGAAATGATTTTGAGTCAGCGGTATCCAGCTAACTACACAAATTTTCCTCCGGAGAAGATTCATTGGTTGTATTCTGAAGATCTGTGCAAAAAATTCTTTTTCTGTCCCAGTTCGAGCCTTTAGCTCATGAACATTAAGCAAATCCGCCACATACCGCATCACATTTTTTTTTGTAGCTCTCGGATCATAGGAAGTCTTCTATCATGCAACACCTTTTTGCATGACTTCCAAATTTCCCAAATTATTATAGTTGGAAGAATTTTAATCACCGAATTCATAGCAGTGGTAAAGCTTCCCTTGCAACACCATTTATTTAAAAGATAAAAAAATGACAAAACATAATGCATATTAACTCCAAAGAGGCCCGAAAATTATACTTAAGTCCTCTTGCAGGAACGCATTCAAAGAAAAAATGAATAATACAATCTGAATTCATGCAATAAATACAAAAAATTGAAAGCCAAACCTGAAACCTAAAGGAGCAAAAAAATTTCTAGAAAAGGCAGGAGTTTGTTGCATAGTTTCGACATGAAGAAAGAGATCCGCAGTGGTAAGAATTTACGCCACATGTTGCACGCCAAAAGGTCTTCATTGTTCCTCCCTCGAAGAGCTTTAAAGGTTGTTTTAGAGAGAAAAATCGAGTGGGTGTGTGCTACCAAATCAGGAGATCGCAATCTTGAGAAAAAGACATAACTCCTTTGTCCAGAACCCCTAGAATTTGCGCACTTAGGTTTTGCTGAAATTCTTCCATGTAAAACTCCTTTGCATCATAAAATTCCTTTATGCTCAAAAGTGGGTATGGTGGCTGCTCTTCATGTAGAATCGAAACGACTCCATATGGTGTCCAATTGTCAAACCAAAAGGATTCATTTCCACTGTGAATTAGCACCGTAAAATGAGATGCAGTCCCATGATCTATAATAGCTATTCTTGTCCAAGAAGTTTTTCTCCTTGCCGATTTTGAGAGTGACAACAAAAATTTGCTCCAACGACCTTTTTCGTGCTTCACTTTCCACCATAGTTTGACCGAAAAGGCATCAATATTCTCTTGAAATCATTTAAGGCCTAGACCATTTTCTTTCGTTTGAAATGTTATTATACCCCAAGCTCTCCAATGCCTCCTTTGGTCATCATTGGAGCCCCACTGCAAGAATTTTTGGCAACTTTCCATTGCTTGAAGCACTGACTTTGGGGGTTTGATCACTACAAAAACATGAATGGGAATGGCCCAAAAAAAAACTTGCTTTTTTATATTAAAAAAAAGCCTTCCTCTTGGACTTTGATGGTGTCGAGACCACCAAAATAAACCTACTTAAAACTTGTGGTAAGTGATAAGAACGGTCAATCCCACAGAGACGAAAAAACATTTGATGACAATTGGGATCCAGTACCAAAACACAAATAGAAGCAAAAACAGCAAATTGGCATGTGAGTTTTGACTTAGAAAAGTGATGGGAATCTAGGGTCGTCCTCCACTCTACTCAATATGCATATGTATTGATTCTTTTAGCTCTTTATATTGTATGAAATTGTATTCAATCAGGCACATAAACACTGTAAGATCACTTCCGATGTTCCAGACAGCAATCCTAATAGTAACCAGTAAACTAACTTCCATTATCGACTCAAAATTACTACTAAGCCATTAAGATCTTCGGCCCTTATGATTGCCTCGTGCCAAACAACTAACTTCCTTTATTGTCTGAAACCTTGGGCTGTTACCCCCTCGTCGGTGGTTAATCCTAGATGTTCTAAAAAAAATAATAAAAATTTACCCTTCCGAGATTCCCGTAACATGTAAGCACAATTAGTTTGAATGGCCTGTTCAACCTAAAAGGATAATTAAAACTCTAGAATTAAGCATATAAATATCATCCGAGAGTATAAATCAAAACATATTTATATACAGTAGAGGGATTAGACCCTAGCAATGAGTTTAGCTACACATGTATTGGAGCTCAAACATACAAAGTTCAGGTGTTGAGACTCCATCCTGATTACAACAGAAAGAGAAGAAAACAAGGGAAGAGTAAAGTCAGGGAGTGTGGTAAAGTGCAGCTGACTTCGTAGAGTCAGCTTCTCACTTCCCCAAGAGACACCCCTGAGTCTACCTTCCAGAGTTCTACTCTATTGCTTCCTAACTGAACTAAACTACCTTAACTAATCTACTTCTAAGTATTTCTGGTCTTTGATGCCTTCATCTTCATGCTGCTCCTGCCTTTTATAGAGGTTGGTGGAGAGATCTTCCTTAGCCATGTTGGTCTCTTCTTTACCAGATGGGTTTTATGCAAAAGAGAAGAGACCCATATTTCTCTCAACTTCCCCCTTACCTCTAATCATTAGTTGGAGAGATTTAGTTGAATAACTCTAGTTTTAAGGCACATCAATCTTCTCCAATGTCAGCAACATCACTTTACCAATGGCTCTTCTTCCTTAGCTTCGAAGGATTGCTCCAATTTCTTCCTTCTTCCCGCTAGATTCAGCTCATCTCAACCCTTGAACGATCAGTACCTGCAATAGCTTTCAGTTTGGCCCGAAACATAACCAATTTATCACATTTTGCCCCCTTTTCCGCTCATATTGCATTTCAGCCCCTGGGTTATCATAAGTCACAAAATTAGCCTATAAATGTATAATCCTAATCTAATTGACCTATAATTAAAGTATAAAGAGGTAAAATTGATGTCTAAAAACATAGTATGAAATGCACTCATCAAGTGGCCCAAACTTGAAGAGTTGTTTGTCCTCAAGCAAACACAACATCTACTCCCACGATACAGATTGAAAACAGGAAATACAGCAAAGGAAACAGTCAAATTTTTGTCTCAGGAACTGATCTCATCACAGGCTGATGCATACACAGAAGTTCAGAACCACTTGAGCAAGTCAGAAACTCACTTCCCCAAGCGCATGGAATGACAGTCATAGAACAAAGTGATGATTTTCTTTTTAAGTTGAGTTTAATTAAGCACAGTGGAAATTCCTGCATTTGTACCTATTTCCATCAAGGCTGCAACTAGGAAATTTTAACTGGAATTTTGACTAAGGGCTTCCTCATTGTTCTGCAAGCACATTGGCTGCTTCATTCAACCTCATACCCCTTTACTTCTGTCCATATTGGGTTTTCTTCTGGATCTTTCCCCCACAACCCTTAACCAAGCACATTTTCACCACTATTTGATATTCTAAGCATTTCTATTTTTCATCTCACTAGGCCTGAGGACACACCTCTCTTTGGTTGACATGCCTCACCTCTCAAGGGTTTATAATGCCTTATTAGACATTCTGCCTATACTCCCTCAATTAGCTAACAGAAAACCTCAGATTGATCCACCAACTTCCCCTTTTTTCCATGTATTTGAGGCTATTTCAAACCACTATGGGCTTGAGTCAAGGCTACCATAATGCGCCGGGTTTGCCTTAATCTCTATCCAGGTTTTACAGTCCCCCTAGGTTAACAAACAAGTGAGCTCCAGTACAGATCATGGCAATGCAACAAATTTTTCAATTTTAAGCATTTTATGTCCAGAAAGACACTTCGTCAAGTGACTGTGACATGAGAAAGTGGAAGTAAGTTCGAAGATGATCAAGATAGTTCTACACAAGTGTTTAGTCAAATTTTGAGACTCAGTTTGTTTTCATCATCGACAATTGACTATCTACTGAGTATGCATTTCCTAGTTTCCTAGGCACAGAAAGACAGAAGACTGACTCGGTCACAGAGAGGGATACGAAAACATAGCAACAAGCAAAAATAGAGAAAAACAAGGCAAATACCCAAAAACAAAGACTCAAAAGACCGACACACAGAGATACGTAGGCAGAGAAACAGGGACATAGATTGACTCTAAAAACTAACTCCTAAACAGATAGAATTCTCTTCACACCCTCCCCCAAACTTAAAATCCAGCATTCCCTCAATGCTAAGTAAGAAGAAAATGGAAGAGGAGATGAAGAAAATCGACAGACACACAAAAAGCAGAAAAAGAAACAAACTAAAAACAGAAGAAGAAAAGAAAAAGAGTTCTCTTCACTCCCTGGAGCTTCAGGGTAGTAAGCTCCAGAAGTGGTGGCAATGCAGGTGGTGGTGTCAAGTGCCAAGGCAGAGGCAATTTTTCCTTCTTGTCCCTTGGGCCCAAATATACGCTAGCTCGATCCATCAGCCTGGTTATCAGAATTGGGAAGAACTAATAGTTCTGAGTCTTCCTAGTGACACATTCTTCGATCTATTGACTGATGATAGGGGCAACATTGATTGTCACATCCTTGACAATGGCATAAACCAACAGGGCTCTGTTAAAAGAGACATGCTGACGAGAATTGCTTGGGATGATGTTGGTGCACACAAAATTGAACCAGCCTCTACATTCATCCTTGAGATGCTTAGCGTCAAAGGACTTGGGATCCCCATGCTTGTCCAAGGTCCATTCAACCTCCTTATGATTGTTGTAGAGGACTCGTTTGATAAAGTTCCATATATCCACCTTCACAGGGAGACTGGCAACATCAGCTTGCCAGTCATTGTGTACCTCAGACAACCCCAAGACCTCCCTAATTGCCTCTGTGCTAACTTCCAGTGTAAACCCTCGCACGAAGATATAGCGTCGCTCACCTTAAATCCCAGCGAAGTTAGCATAGGATTTCTTCAGAGGCAACAGTCTAAGGTGCGTATCAAGATTGCACAATCTTTCCTAGCCCTTATCCTGAATATATGTTGAAGGATGACCTTCATTGAGAAACCTTCGTTCAATAACAACCTTTCTCTTCCGATTCTCCTTATAGAACTCCCACACTTTATTCATGTGGAAGAGATTCCAATCCCTTGGTTCATTTAAACGCCTCTCAATCCCTGCTTTATCGGATTCATTGTTGTCAGAATCTGGGATCGATACCAACGGCAATACCGACTGGACCCATGGGAAACTGGACCCTTCAATCTGCAGAGTTCTCCTCCTGGCGGTTTGCTTGACGCAGGGTGCCATCGATCAGTGTGAAAAATTGGTTCAATGGATGATCAGAAGGGAAGATTTTGTGTTTGAGGAGAGAAGACAGAAAGTTGCTGAGTTAAGAGTGTTGGGGAAGATGGAGTTCAGGCGCTGTTGATGAAGAGATAGAAGTAATGAAGAGCTTTGGGATGTGGGGATGTGCGGTTTCTGAGTAAAACTGCAACAACTCCCCATGCCCAGTCTTTTATACACCCAAAAGATTCTTTTTGGTTGCCAAAACTAAATACTGCATAGTCGTTTCTCCTCAAACTTAAAAGCGAAGACTGGTTCCCAAAGTCAAATTCGGACTTACTCACATTTTGAAAGATCAAAATGAATTTCTCAAGTCAGCAACTGACTTCTTGAGGTGGCCAGTCATTCCACAGAGTGCTGATATTGTTTCCTTCCCAAAACATTGGTCAGATATTGATCATCACTTCTCCTGGATTTTGGTTATCCACCTGGGTTGGAAAACTACCTTCAAAATGCAAAATACAAGAGATAGGGTTAGAACAAAAGTGCTTGGGTTGGCTCCCAAGTAGCGCAATAGTTTATAGTCTTATGCCAGACTGTACTAACGGTATCATTCAAGATCATGGAGCAACAGAACATGTGTGTCCTGCTCTCCTTCAGAGTGTACTCCTAAATACGGCTTCAGCCTTTGTCCATTCACTTGAAATGTGCTCCCTGCCTGAAGGTTCATCAACTCCGCTGCCCTTTGGCTCATAATCTTGCTGATCTTGTAAGGGCCTCCCCATCTGGATTTCAGCTTCCCAGGGAAGAGCTTCAGCCTGGAGTTGTAGAGTAGGTTCAACTGTCCTACCTCCAGCTGCTTCTTGATCAGCTTCATGTCATGGAATCCTTTCGACTTCTCTTTGTAGATTCAGGAAGACTCATAAGCTTCTGCTTGAATTCCTCCATTTCATTCAGTTACAAAAGCCTATGCTCCCTGCTAAGTTTTGGATCCAAATTCAACTCCCTCAAGGCTCAATATGCCTTGTGTTCTAACTCAACATGAAGGTGGCATGCATGCCAATTGGAGTCTTGAAAGCAGTCGTGTATGCCCTAAGAGCATCATCAAGCCTAGCATACTAGTCAGTTGTTAAACTGCTGACTACCTTTTCTAAGATCCTCTTGATCTCTCTGTTTGATACCTCTGCTTGACCATTGGACTGTGGATGATAAGGTGTAGAAATTTTGTGCTTGATGCCGTACTTAGCCATCAGCTTATTGAAAGCTCTATTGCAGAAATGAGAACCCTCATCACTGATTATGGCTCTTGGAGTACCAAAAACGAGAGAAGATGTTCTTTTTCATGAACCTGATCACTATTTTAGCATCACTGGAATGAACTGCTACAACTTCTACCCACTTAAAAACATAATCAACTACAAGTAGAATGTGTGTGTGACCATAAAATGACACAAAGGGTCCCATAAAGTCCATGCCCCACATATCAAAGAGTTCTACTTCCAAGATCATTTCCTGTGGCATTTCATTCCTCCAAGAGATATTTCCTATTCTCTGACATCTATCACAGCTAAGCACATAATTTTGAGCATCTTTATGTAAAGTAGGCCAAAAGAAACCAGATTGTAGTACCTTAGCAGCAAAACTTTGGCCTCCGTAATGTCCTCCATATGGTGAGCTGTGGCACTTTTCTAAGATTCCAGATGCCCCTGATTCTAGTACACATCATCTGATCAGCTGATCCACACACCTTCTAAATAAGAAGGGTTCATCCAGTAGTATTGCTTTGCATCATGCATGAACTTCTTCTTCTGCTATCAGCTAAGTCCTTTAGGTATGATCTTAGAGACAACATAGTTAGCATAATCAGCAAACCATGGCCTCTGTTCCAACACTCTGGCAAGTGATTCGGTCACATACAAAAGTCATTCATCAAGAAATGCTTTAACAATTGGCTCAGGATCTTCTGGTGCATTCTCTAGCGTTGACAAATGATCTACTACATGGTTTTGGATGCCTTTCCTGTCTCTGATCTCCAGGTTGAATTCTTGCAGAAGCAAAACCCACCTAATCAACCTTGGCTAGGATTCTTTCTTTGTAACCATATACTTAATGGTTGCATGATCAGTGTATACTATGACTTTGATTCCCAACAAGTAGGATCTGAATTTGTAAAAAGCAAAACACTATAGCCAGCATCTCTTTCTCCATAGTTGAGTAGTTGATCTGGGCTGCATTCAGAGCCTTGCTTGCATAGTACATGACATGCAACACTGTTCCTCCTCTGACCTAACAGAACTCCCACTGCAAAGTCACTGGTATCAGCCATTATTTCAAATGCCTGAGTCCAATCAGGTGTGACTATCTGAAATTCTGTGGCCTAGAAAAATTCTCTCTGACACCATGAAATGGCATTTCTCCCAATTCAAGACCAGGTTGGTCTCAATACACCTCTACAACACCTTACTTAGGTTTTCCAGACATTCTTCATATGTCTTCCCAAACATAGAGAAGTCATCCATGAAAATCTCAATGATGTCCTCTACCATGTCTGAGAAGATAGCCATCATGCACCTCTGGAATGTTGCTGGTACATTACACATGCCAAATGGCATCCTACTGAAAGCAAAAGTGCCATAAGGACATGTGAATGTGGTCTTCTCCTGGTCTTCTGCAGCAACAACAATTTGATTGTAACCTGAATATCCATCCAGGAAACAATAATAGATATATCTAAGTAGTCTGTCTAGCACCTGATCAATAAATGGCAATTGGAAATGATCCTTCCTGGTAGCCTTGTTGAGTTTCCTGTAATCCATGCAAACTCTCCAAGCATTAACCACTCTGGTGGGAATGAGTTCATCTTGATCATTCTTCACCACTGTCACCCCTCCTTTCTTTGGAACAAACTGGACTGGGCTCACCCAAGTACTATCAGATATGGGGTATATGATCCCTGTATCCAATAACTTGATGACCTCCTTCTCGACTACTTCCTTCATGGCTGGATTTAACCTCCTTTGACCTTCTATACTTGGCTTTGCTTCCTCTTCAAGCAGGATTTTGTGAGTGCAGATGGAAGGACTGATGCCTTTGATATCAGCTATGGTCCAACCAATAGCTTCCTTGTGCATCCTCAGAACTCTCATCAGCTTGTCTTCCTCTGTCTCAGTCAGTGATGCTGAGATGATCACAGGCAAAGTGTCTTTATCTCCTAGATACACATACTTGAGATGTGTAGGCAGTGGCTTCAACTCCAGAGTTATTCGTTCTTCCAAAGAAGGTTTATAACTTTTGCATTCCTTAGCTGGATCCAACAGCTCTGCTGGATGACGTCTGTGAGGCCTATTTGGAGAGTGATCTAAGCAACTGAGTCATGTTATGGCTGAGTCCTCATATGTATGTCCTGTATCGATTTCAACATCAATTAGTATTTTAAGCAATTAATCAAACTCTATTACCTCTGCAGAAACTTGCTCAATCGTCTCCTCCACAGCATCTATCTTGAAGCACTTTTGCATTTCTGTAGGGAATTTCATGCTGTTGAAGATGTTGAATGTCACCTTCTCTCCATCAAACTGTAAAATTAACAGTCTCATAGGTTGCTAAGAAAGGTCTGCCCAAAATGATAGGGACATCCTTACCCTCTTCCATATCCAAGACTACAAGTCAGCTGGATATATGAATGATCCAACTTTGACTAAGATATCATTCAGAATGCCCTTTGGATATGTAAGGGATATATCATTTAGCTGCATGGTAATGCTAGTAGGCACAAGTATATCTCTAACTCCAAGTGTATTAAAAATAGATAAAGGCATCAAGTTAATTCTTGCTCCTAAATCTAGCAAAGCTTTCTTAAATTTAGTGTTACCAACAAAGCAAGGAATTGTGGAACTCCCGGGATCCTTAAGCTTTGTTGGCAGCTTCTTCAGAATGGCTGCACTGCACTCCTCATTCAAAGTTATGAATGATGAATCATGAATCCTTAGCTTGTTTGAGACTAACTCCTTAAAGTGCTTGAAATACTTTGGCATTTGCTTCAGAGCATCAATCAATAGAATGTTGATGTGTAAGCTCTCCAGATTACTCATGAATCTGTTGATGGCTGCTTCTGAAGTCTTCTTCCTGACTTGTCTGAGTGGATAAGGAGTATTAGTACCTTAGGCTCATCTTGAGGAGATGGAGATTGAGCCTCCCCTGTCAAGACTGGTTCTATTGTGGAATGCCCCTTAGGATCCACTGCATCTTCTTTTTCTTCAGTGAGGTCAATTATATCTTCAGCTTCCTCAGGTACAGCTGCAGGTACTGGGATTAGAATCTCACTTGTGGGAGTGAGTTTCTTTCCACTGCAAAGTGATACAACCTTGGCTTGTTTTTGCTGAACTAGCCTTGGGTTTTCCACAGTATCACTTGGCAAACTTCCTACCAGACATTCTGCACATAGCTTCTCATTCTGACTCATCCTTGCCTCCATTTGACGTTGGCTGGCTTGTAAAGACTTGATCTTAGTCTTAAAATCAACCACATCACTTTCTTTTAAGCTCCATTCTGGTTTTTGGAAACCAGGTGGTTGTTCAGGCCTTTGGTAGCTCCGTTGTTGCTAATTGCTATTCAAGTTGCCTTACTGCCCTCTCCACTTGTTGTAAGGATTGAAACCACCCGCATTCTTCTGACAAACGAATTGAGCTGACTCCATCAACTCAGGACAGTTATCAATCTTAAGTGGACCAGAGCATGACTCGCACAAGTAAATTTGTGACTTGGCAATACGAGCTTCAACTTTGGCCATCTGATTTAAAAGATGGGAGAGTTGGGCTTGCATATGTGTAGCTGCATCAACTTCAAATATGTCGGCCTTCTTGGGCAAAGCTCTGGGATCTGATTGCCATGTATAGTGTTTGGTTGCCATATTCTCCAACAGCTGGGTTGTTTCTTCCACATTCTTCATCATAAATGCTCCACCAGCAGAGGAATCACGAGAATCTCTGGAGGACTGGGTTAGACCATTATAGAAAATACCTAAC